ATTAAAAAATTTAAATATTAAAAAAATTAGTAAAAATCTTCGTAGGCAAATTTGCCTGTGTTACAATTTAAGGGATACATTACTTTAATATCTGCACTATTTTTAATACACCTTATGGCCATTTTTTTCAACTGTGGAGAACATTCACGATTAACATAAATGATTTTTACAACAGGACTGATCTGGCTTTGAAAAGAAAAAATATCTTAATAATTTAAAAAACTAAACTTTTAACTTTTTGCAACAATGTATTATTCACTTATACTTAAATCTACCTTCAACTAATTTAGCTACAGCACTAGTCACTTTGCTAAATACTAGTTTTCAGGGCCTGGGCAATTCCCCAGGTATGAGGTTTTTAATTTTAATTTTTTTTTACAAATTCAAATAAACCTAATTTGAATTCAAATGATTCTAAATTGGATTCAAATGAACCCAAATTGGGTTTATTGAATCCAAATAATTTTTATAAATTTGATTTTTTTTATGTTTTATTTTTTTTATTTTTTTTTTAATTTATTTAGGATGATCTTAATACTTACTAAAAGTGAAATTCACCAGGATGCTATATCTTAAAAACGTATTAAGTAAACATTCTAAATAAAAATATTCAGAACCTCTGAAAATCTTACAAAAACTGAGATCAAGACCTTTTATTAGCTCTATGTTATTTTATATAAAAAAAAAATTTTTAATATTCTAACCCTAACCCTAACCTAACTCTAACAATTCTTAGACTGGTGAATTTCACCACCAGTTAAATCTAAATTATTTCATTTATTTATTTATATTTTTTGAATAAACCTTTAAGTGAACCTGACTTAGATTCAAATAAACCTGACTTGAGTTCAAATGAACCTGACTTGAGTTCAAATGAACCTGACTTGAATTCAAATAAACTTGACTTTGGGTTAAAAAACCCAATTTGTGTTTAAATAACAAGTTTACTAAAATGCATCTATAGTGTTCAACACCATAGGCTTCTATTTTTCAAAAATATACTAAGTAAATAGGATCAGATACTCTAAGTAAAAATGTTTAGAACTCTCAAAAACCTTACAAAAATTAAAATTGAAACCTTATATCTAACATATATTATAATATATATAAAAAAAAAATTTATAAAAATATACTCTAACTTTAAATTTTATTAAAAACAATTATATATAGTGTTGAATATCTTTTTTTTTTTTTTTTTTTTTTTTTTAATGAATTCAGCAGTCTTGTCTTCACTTTATTAGGCTTTGTAATAATTATCTAAACTATTAAAATTTTCTATAGAGCTATACTCTATAGTATCTAAATTACAAGTGGAGACTTATCTAGTTGCTTACTAAGTATCTATATGCGATCTGCTATAGTAAGATTTGGCTCTGTATTATCTTATCCCGCAATTGGCTTCAATAATACATCATTAGCTGGATCTTACTGCCTGTCAAGACTATATATTAGTTTTCCACCAATCTGCCTGTTGTCCTTCTTCAATCCATCATATGGTGTTGAACATCATAGATATATTTTATAATAATTGTTAAACAAACTTGATTTTTGTTCAAATTAGATTATCTTTAGTTTATTTAATTACTTAATTATTTATTTAGTATACTGTATAGAGTGTGATTATTTTAATCTATAATCTATAATCTATAACTATATAATAAAAAAAATCACATCATTTTTATTGGTTAGCTACCGTAAATTGCCATATAAACTACCCGGGGTCTGTTACTTTAAACCAACACAAAAACCGATTTAGACCCGGGTCTGTTATACGGAGAAGAGTCTACTATTAGGGGTCTGTTGTACAGGGCCTTTTATTAACCAATTAAAATTAATAATCATGTGAACCAACCCGAATATATAAATTTAGATTTTTTTTTTCCAGATCTCAAAATGATTTTTTGTGTCTGTAAAGACATTATTTTTTTTTTTGTGTATGTGATTTGTCGCTTTTATGAGCAAATAAAGACTTTACCGTGTTTGAGTTGTACTTGAGTTGTTTAAAGTAGGTTTTTTTTTTTAATGAGAATATATAACTTATAATACTATTGTATAAGATTTAATTTATTTTTTTTTCTTTGTAGATGACACACAAAATAAATAACCAAAAATGCTCTACCATAACCGGAAAAAAAAAAGTGTTTGGAATGCCCGCGAAAAGTTAACAATACTTACATTTTTGGATAAAAATCCTAGTGCTTCAGTTTGTAATACGGCGGCAAAATTTGATATACAACCCAATCAAATACGAGATTGGCGAAATAAACGTGCACAGTTACAAGCTACTTCACCACATGTTAAACGTTTTAATACAAGATTCTGGCCAAAATATCCTGAACTCGAAGAAGAGTTAGTAGTTTGGGTTCAGGGGAATGCGCAATCAGCAAAAAGCTGTTACTCGTTTTATGGTACGGAATAGAGCCAAAAATTTGGCCAAAAAATTGCAATATCTTTCAATGTACCCATCAATTAGCGAGTGCAAGTGGAGTGAAAAATGGTTGGATAGATTTATGTGTTGGTATAATCTAAGTAATCGTCGTTGTACTATGATAGCCCAGAAGCCACCTGAAGACTTAGAGAGAGCTCAACAAGAATTTTTAAGTTTCGTTTTATATTGCAGAATTCAATATGATTATCCCATAGCACTTATCGAGAACATGGACGAAACTCCAGTATATTTTGATATGCCAAGTACAGTTACAATTGATGAAACTGGGGCCAGGTCTATTAATATTTGCACATGTAGCTATAAGAAAAGCCATTTTACTGTCATTCTCGCATGTTTGGCAAACAGGGTAAAACTACCTCCTATGATTATTTTCAAACTTGTTAATGTTCCACGTCAAACTTTTCCAAAAGATGTTTTGGTTTGTGCAAACAAGGAGGGGTGGATGAATACTGATGAAATGTTATGGTGGATTGAAAATATTTGGAACCATCGTAACTTATTGATTATACACCTGCGATCTCTTTTGGTGTTAGACTCTTTTTCAGGGCATACAACTGATCCAGTTAAACGACGATTAAGTGAACACTGCACGAACATAGCAGTTATCCCCGGTGGCCTAACCTCAAGACTGCAACCTCTCAATATTGCAATTAATAAACCTTTTAAAGCAAAGGTTATTAAAATTAATATTGTTTCAATTTTAATTTGTTTTTTATTTTATTTTATTTTATTTTTTGTAATTTTTATTTTTTTATAATAAATAATTATTTAATTAAATAAAATAAATAAATATTTTTTGCTAGATTCGTGCACTTTATAATGAATGGATGTCTAAAGAAGTGAAAAAATTAACTCCTACTGGCCGAATACAACGCCCTGCCTATAGTACTCTTGCAGAATAGATAGATACTGTATGGAAAAGCATTAACGCAACGCTTATCCAAAAGTCCTTGGTATTTTGAATACACATGATAGCTCTGAAGATTATCTTATGAACAGGTTATAAACAACAGACCAAAAAACACAAACTTTATCTTTGAGAATGAAGATGATGATGGTATTAATAATGAAGAAGGTTCTTCAACAAATCAATTGTTGGATGATGAAACTCCTTATGATAACTCTAATGATAATGATAAAGAAAATGAAATCGATGATTATTATGAAAGAGAAACTTCAGATTATAGTAATTCTTGGGATTAGAAGCAAAGAATACGAAGAGTGTAATTCAAACTTTACAGTAATAAACTTCAATAAATAAAGTTTAAATAGATATTTTGAGTGTTTATTTTTTTTTTTTTAAAATGATATAAATATTTTTTAAATTATTTTTTTTGTTTGGCCTAAAATTATATATAACCGTATAACAGACCCGGGTCTTGTACATTTTACCCTTAACTGGACCCAAGTAACAAACCCGGGTCTATTAAAAGGGGGGTATTCTATAAAGGGAGTGGTTTATGCGGCAATTTACGGTACTGCATAGATTTTTATGCATCTATACTTGCTACAAAAACTACTCATTTCAAATCCCAAATTCCAAACTCAAATTCCTGTTTGGAATTGAAATTTGGGCTTTAAGACAATTTTATTATGTTTGGAATTTGGGTAGGATTTTGGGAGTTTGTAGTTTGAGTGACATGTATACACATACCACCCTGTATATTATTTTAAAACATGCATGTGTGCTTTATTAATTCAAAAAATGATTGTTGTAAATGAAAAGTATATAAGTATTTATTCTTATATTGCTTGCTAATTTTAACTCTAATTATTTTGTAAACTTTAAATTAAATTGGTTAAGAGTATAGTGCAATATAAATATTCATACTCAACTGCATTAGCAAATTTAAATAGGCAAAAATCTTTGAATAAATAGGTCAGAAGTTAGAAAAGCTTTAGCAGGTACACTTTAGCACAAACATAAACAAGTAATAATTATAATATTGATTAATTAAATTAATATACAAGAGGTGTGGTGGCTTAGTGAAGTGGTCAAGTCATCACCCTCTCCAAGTAGCAGGTCTAGGGTTCAAATTCCATGGACGACGAAAGTTTGAAAAATAGGCTTGCGTTACAGTAACAGATCTTTATTAAGTTGGGGCTTAGATTAACCTGTAACTTCGGGTCACACCAATGCTCTGTTGTCACTGTCGGGCATCTGCGTACTGCCGAGTGGATATAGGATATCCTGATAGTGTTGGTAACACCGAGGAACGAGAAGATTCTGGAACCTGCTTGGCAAGTCCCGAGTTGGGGAATAGCA